CCCACAGCCCCCCATCACTGCCAGCTGGGATGGGCCGGCTGCAAGTGCCTTTTGTGACCCCCCCCGCCCTGCCCTCCCCCACCGACAGCCCCCCCACTGCCCCTCCCCCACCGATAGAACCCCCCCCAACCTCCACTCCCATAGACCCCCTTCGTATCCCCAGCCCCTCCACCCCCCTGCTAGCCCCCCCCCGAGGCCCCAAACATGGCTCCCCACGGCTCCTTCACGCCCCCGATGTCTTCCCCGACCCCCCACGGCTCACCCCCCGCCTCTCTCCCCCCAGACCTTCGGCCTCATCCTCATCGCCATGTTTGCCTACGACGCCTTCAGCACTTACTGGGCTGAGATCAGGCCGGAGCCAGCCCAGGGTGAGTGCAGCCTGGACGCCGGGGGCAGTGACAGTGGGTTGGGGACAGGCCCGCTGTGGCCCGGACACCTGGGTTCCCCAGCTGGGGGCAGTGACAGTGGGTTGGGGACAGGCCCATCTGTGGCCCGGACGCCTGGGTTCCCCAGCCGGGGGCAGTGACAGTGGGTTGGGGACAGGCCCAGCTGTGGCCCGGACGCCTGGGTTCCCCAGCCAGAGGCAGTGACAGTGGGTTGGGGACAGGCCCAGCTGTGGCCCGGACGCCTGGGTTCCCCAGCCAGAGGCAGTGACAGTGGGTTGGGGACAGACCCAGCTGTGGCCCGGACGCCTGGGTTCCACGGGCAGTGACAGTGGGTTGGGGACAGACCCAGCTGTGGCCCGGACGCCTGGGTTCCCCAGCCAGCGGCAGTGGCACTGGGTTGGGGACAGGCTCAGCAGTGGCCCGGACGCCTGGGTTCCCCAGCCAGGGGGCCCCGTGGGATGCTAAACTTTAATGTTCTTTTCTAGATGGTAACAGGAACCTGGCGTAAGAGGAAAATTGCACCCCGCTGGGGACAGAAATAACCCCCCTGATCTCCCCCCCCAACTCTGCTGGTGCCCCTCACTCCTGACCCACAGCCCCTGCCAGCCTGCCCCTGCCGGTGCCCCTCACTCCCGACCCGCAGCCCCCTGCCAGCCCAGCCCTGCCCCCCGCAGCCCTGCCAGTGCCCCTCACTCCTGACCCGCAGCCCGTGCTAACCCAGCTCTCGCCCCCCCCCTGCCCTGGTCCTGGGCCCCCTGCAAGCCCCCCAGTCCTTGGGGCAAAGGGGCGAGGTGGGCTCTGGGTTTGCTTGTATTTAAATTGCGCAAAGGAGGAAATTTCAGGTGCTTTGGTCTGGTACTGACGCCACTGTGTGTGTGTCCGTGTGTGTGTCCGTGTGTGTGTCTGTGCCCCCTGCTGGCGGGG